CAGGTTAAATGATTGAGTCATTAAAATAAGTTAAAACTAGTTCTGGCTCTCTACTCAAAGAGCCGGTAGAGGAAAACCCTCATCTTAACAAGCTTAAGTAAATTCAGAGTGATTGAGCAATTCTTCTTGTTTTAATTAATGGCATATAGGAAGACTTTTCCAATTTCCAAATGACTGCCGATTTTTCCAATGAGCTTTTTGAGAGTCACGGTGGCTCAGGGGATACAGCGTTCGTCTCTTAAGGAGGTAACCCAGGTTCTAATCTCAGTTACAGCTGGTTCTGCTTCTGGTTCGCTCCGACTACTGTGTTGATGTAAAATATCCTCAGTGGTAGACGGACCACGGGTTAGAATCCCCTTGATGTCGAGCTAACCGTGGGATGTTTTCGTCGTTTTCCTTTCCATGTAACGGTAATGCCGGTTTGTTCTATCAAAAAAGTCCTCCACGAAGGCTAGTTTGTTCCCATCCTGGAGTTTCCGTGTCTTCTGAATCGGGTCTAAAATTACAAGGCTACAGTATTGAAGCTTAATAGTCGTAAACTGAGAATTGAGTCAAATGTTCAACACTGATTACAAAATAAAATAAAAATTTGCTCACGATATTTATACTCTGAGGTCTCACGCGTATATCTATCCCTTTGTTCGACATTGCTCATTTCGTACTTTGCTTCGTATTCAAATTGATTGTATTTTTACCGCTTTGTATTCAATGTACAATTAAAAAAAAATATACGTTGTTAAATTTAAATTTATATTGCAAACTTTATTAGAATGTTTTGCTAAATTTAAAAATTAAATGCATTAAAAGTTTTATTTTTTTGTCAAATTCTTACTTTTATATTATTAAATGAAAAAATATTTTTTTAATGACTATGATCATATATATGGTCATACGAAACATTTGTAATATTCTTCACTTTAAATTTAAAACATTCAGAATAAAAGTTAAAGACAAAGTGAAAAATATTTTAGAAATAGTTAGATAAAGTAAAGCACGTGGGCAACAATCAGTTTTCGGTCCCGAGGGGATTACGAAGGTTAGAGGAGCATAATTTTGAGATCAACGATATGATGGTGGCAGCGTTGTCAGCAATGCGCACTGGCCACTTTCACTTCCCAATCGAGCTTGTAGCCGCTGGTCTGAAGCTAAGTTGAACTATAGTAACAGTGGCTAAGTTGAACTACAGTTACAGTGGATAAGTTGAACTATAGTTACGAGCTAAGTTTACAGTGGCAGATCAGGACCTTAACGGCTGCAATAAGCTATCGAGGCTAACAGTCATATTTAAAAATTAATTTGATTTTCGAAACTTAGCTATTTGCATTTTACTTTTCAATCAAAGCTTTTATTGAGTAAACAATACTATCATCTAAAATAATTTGAATATAATTTAAACCTGGTTTATAAACTATTTAGTAGTTTTTATAAAATTTTTATTGTTAAACTAGCTGAATACCGTTTTTCATACGGGGTTAGAAAATTAAATAAATCAGTCACTACAAAACTATGCACAAAACTGAGACGCAAATACTGACACAAATAATAAGGCTAAAATAAAGCCAATGTTTTTTTTCCGTATTTGTTATTTTTTTGCCCTTCCTTGTGGCTTTACTTTATTAGAATAAGCAAAACAAGTATTTAGTCTTTCATTCCATCAAAATAAAGATGAACTGTATTCAATAGTATCTGGCATAATGCTGTTACTTGAGGTAACTCATGACATTTAGAATAACCCTGACATGTAAAATTACCACAATCAAGCCACTTTATCCCGTACTTACATCTTCGAGGGACCGTTAAAAACCTATTTCTGCAGTATCTACCATAAAGATGTACAGTATTAGTGAAGCTTTAATAGGCACTATATTTACTCATAAAATATTTCTATCTATGTAAGCATAATTGGTGATTATAAAACAACACCAATTACCGTAGTGACAGTAGCGTCTTTTACCAAAATTGATCATCATTGTTGCCAATAATAGTATTGCGACTTTTTATCGTACCCCATAGCGAATAAGTAGTTCATAGCTTATTCTTTCAATTTCAATTAGTACATTATTACGAAAATTAATTCCACATCATTTGCGTCAATAATAGTTTGTCGATCTTTTAAGTTCTCTTAAACAAATTATTACTATTTTTCCATTAATTTTTTATTTTAGTACATAGTTATTTTTTTTTTGTTGTTTCAATCAGTTACTTTTACCAAAATTAATTATTATTGGCGTCATTAATAATATTGGCGTTTTATTACGTTTCTCATTAACGTATTAATGCCATTTCTAGATTAAATTTGCTTTTAAATATAGAATTTTTTTTCTTCTTAAATTTAAATTGTGTCCTTGAAACTCTAGGTGAAGGAAGTGATTCTGAGGAGCCATGCAATTGTGCACATGTAAGCATCGTCACGCGTGTGAGTCGAACCTGATTAGCTCTTGAATCCACAAATCCTACGATTTAGCTACCATGACGTCACCTGCAGGCATACAATTACCGTTGATTTTAAATTATTTTGTTTTATTGCAACGCGCTTAAAAATCATACATTATAAACAATGTAAACGCGTGGCTTCAGATAACTTTATAAATATTTATTTGGTGACGCAGTTCGTCTATGCTACCACGATCAGGTTGATTATTCAGATAATTAGATATAATGGATAATAACTAAGTACTGCAGAACGCGCAATGAACAACACTTTTGATTAGAGATAAAAGCTAGCAAACACCATTGATGTTATCTTTAAAATCTTTGTTAAGACTAATTCGCCTAGAGCTTATTTTAGAATAATGGCTCCCGATAAACCTAAGAGAAAATTTAATTTTTTTAATGAGTCTGAATTAAATATATAATTAAAAAATAGAAAATCGGGCTTCTTAGTTTATTTAATATTTTTTTTAATTTAGCTTCATGTTTAATGCCGTTTTTTTTATTACCTACGGCTTGGCCAAAGGATACCAGAGTCTTTGTTTGCCAAGGCCTACGGTATACCCGCAATCGGGTATGCAGGCACGCACAAATTCTTTTTTTTGTTATATATATATAGAAAAAACTATGTAAGTAACAACAATAAAAAAAAACATTTGTTAGACATGCGAAGATTTATCAGAAAAGCAGGTGTTTGATTTTGATAAATATGCTGAGGGTACTTATTAGGTAAGAGTATTTTCTGAGAAATTAAGCACTGTTATTATCACATTCTCTTTCGAAAATGAAGATTGCTCTTGGAACCTTCTGTTTTGTAGTATTTTTTGAACTCATAGTAAGCTTTATATAAATATAATAGTTTTAATTATTATTATATGTGAATTTTATTCAAATATTTTTAAACTTGGAGAGAAATTGGAATTTTAAAATATGTATCATTTAATTGTTGTTTATAATTACTAGTTGCTTTTTATTGACGATGTCTTTGGTTTGAAATATACACATGATCCAAAATAAACTACAAAATAAACTAATTATGTTTTCTCTATAAAATTATTTTAAGCAATATTTTGAATGCATTACGAATTTTATATTAACTCAAAAAGATTATATTCAAATTTTAAGAAAAATTCTTGAATTTTCTACATAACTGGAATAGAAGTAACAAAATTATATTGACGTTTATGCAGATTCTGAAAAGTATGGTGGGTATGCTAGGTATCTTTCAAACCACTGCACAGTGGGCCAGCATCCAAGGTTTCGTGGCCAAAATTAGTATTTCGATAAAATTTGTTTCAAAATTTGGGGGTTTTCATTTAGGGTTTTTTATGTGCAGGTAAATTGAATTCATAGTTAAAATTTTGAAATACACTAAAAACACCAAGGAAATAAACAAACAAAATGACGGTTGAAATATGGCGAGCAAAAAAAAAACAAAACAAAAAAACAAATATATATATAGTACGTTTAAATAATTAAATATAGCAATGAAAATATAATAATTTTCGCAATTTTTTATTAAAAATGAAAATCAAATTATATTTCCGAAGTATTATTACAGAATAATGCGAATTAATTACAAAATAACGCGAAAACATGAAAAAAAAACATAATTTTTGTTTTTCTGTATATTTAGTTCACCTTTGCAATATGGGCAAAATGGGGCAGGTTTTTTCGAAAGAAGAAACATCAACGAAGACAACAAAAAAAAGTTTAGCTAATTACCTCGTGGAACTAACTTTTCGGAGATAAGTTTCGAAAGTGATTCAAACATTGTAAAATGTCAAATGATAAGATATAAACTATAAGTTTGTCAAGAGTATTAACTAATCCAACAAATTGAAAAATGGTACTATAATTTCAGACTAATTACTCTGATAAAAATGTAACAGAAAGGTGAAACTCCTATAGATATTTCTTAAATATAAATGTAAAGGTTACATTTAAAAAAATTTTTTAAACATATTTTCCACTACATTGTACTCTCGTCGGTCCAAAAAGTAAATTGTAATGTTTGGAATGATTATGAATACTTAATTTGGGCGATATTAAAACTGCCTACACATATTTTAGTTGAAAATTTAATTCTGACTTTTGGCCAAAGATCATAGTTTCTGGTCCACAGTGCACTGTAGAAAATTCGATTGCTAATGCTTGTATAAGTAATATCTAGAACAGGTAAAATGATTGAGTCATTAACTCAAACTTCTGCATTTTATATTTTGAAATTTTTTAACAGGCAGTTTTATTTTTATTTTATCACTTTATAACTGGCTTAGAATAACGGAACCATTTTTGGATTGACGCTTACCATTGCTTAACTCCGCAGCCTTGTAATTTTGATCCCAAACCATAAGATAAGAGAACTCGTGTATCAATTATCTGGGACAGACTTGGAGGACTTTTTGCCGGAACACACTCGCATTTACATTACACAGAGAAGAAAACTACGGAAACCACTCAAAATTGGCTCGACAGTAAGGAGATTCTAGCCCATGATCCGTTTACCACTGGCAATTTCTTGCACCAGCACTCTGGTTGGTGCTAGTCGGGAGCAGAATTTGTATCGATCAGCAATCGCTAAGATTGATCGATCGCTAAGATTCGCATCGATCAGCAATCGCTAAGATTGATCGATCGCTAAGATTCGCATCGATCAGCAACCGCTGGATCACCTCATTGGAAAGTGACTCTTTATATATTTTAATGCTCTATTGTCCTATTTTGACAATTTTGCTGAGTGTGGAGCCACTATATGCCAGGGCAAGATGGAACAGTTGAAGAGCGTGGTGCGTGGACCGAATGATTGCACTAACTATCTGCTTTTCTGATCTAAACCGTGTTACTGCAGTATGCGCCACTCCCCCTATTACTCATTCTTCATAATTTATTCATTCACACTAAATATCAAAATAAAATTAAATTTATAGTTGAGACGTCTATGCTTTCGATTTTTTGGTTATTAGCCAAAATTAATTTCCTTAAATATATAAATGTCTGAACATATATGAGCGTTGTTGGAAAATTACGACACTCATTCTTCCATATAGAATCAATTTCAAGTGAACCCTGCGGCTCATAAACCTAAATAAAATAAAAGTTTGGCTCATCATGTACTGCGGTTTCTTGGAAGAAAATTTTCATGCACTGTTGCAGGGATGGCGAATCGGTGGCGTGCAGCAGGCACGCCACCGATCACATTTGTTGTTACACTATGAATTGTTATTACTCAATGTTATTACACTATGAAGCATATGTAACAATTAAATTATAATTCACAAAAAACACGTAAAATAATAAACAATTATTAATGAAAAAAATTAACAATTAATGCTAAAAAAGCATTTAATAACCATAAAAAACAAGCTAACAATAAATAACTAACAAACAAATAAACAGTCCTGCTTAAACTAACATCTTACAACCTAATATAAGTTATTTGTCATCTAATTTGCAACAACAGAAGTCACACTGATGTTACTTTAAGTTGAATTACGCGTATAACTGAGACATTGCAAAATATTCTTTTTTTTCAATGTAATTAAAGAGTTTTGAGTTGATAGTATTCAGTATCATTATTTTCCCAATAATCACGAAGGCAAAATTATTTGACGGCACGTCTTTGACCTCCTTAAACAATTTTTTGGAAAAAATGGCACGTTGGTGTAAAAAGTTCGCCACCCCTGCACTATTGGGTAGCGTGGAGCAGAGAATGAGTGCTTACCTCTACCAGCTGCTTCTCCGGTATAAATTGTGATAATGTAGTGCATGAAAGCGTCGATACCATTTTTGGTAGATAATTAAAAAAAGAATATCAGATTGTTGCTAATAGCCAACAGTGTAGCTCCATTGCAATAAAATAAAATAATAACAATAGAAAAAAGAAAACCCTCAAAATCTATCTTAATTCACTGCTAAAAGAAAACAAAAATTTTGATTCCGTTGAAAAAATATTGGAAATTCTACCACTTAGTGGCATTACTTCGTTTTCGATTGTGATTGTTTCCTAAATTAAGAGTTTAAAAACCAAAAGAGTCGTTTCTTTATTATAATGTAATTTTAGGATATTACCTTATTAGGCTGCATTTTAAGATAAACGTATTTGAATAGGTATCTAAACTTATTAATCCTTTAACAATTAATATAAATTGGAGTACATTTTATTAATATATTCGTTAAATGATTTAGAACTTAACGATCAGCTTAATGCACAATGTGATGCATGCTTAAATTGCATTTAATATAACAGCTTGTTGGGTAAGCGAAAATATTAAATTAGGTGTGAACTCACCAAATTTGTTAAACAATATACCTTTAATTGTAAATGTTCAAAAAAAAGATTAATCAAAATTATCAATCAAAAAGATTAATCATCGGGGCAGCGAACAAAGGGATTAGCCCATAATATAGAATGGAAATGTTAAATGTGCCATTTCTTTTCTAAGGTTTGTTCCACACAGTTTGCGCAAAAGCTTTGCCGATCAACGGAGGATTGTGATTGGGACCAATGCTGCATTGAGGCTCAAACCAGGCTGCCAGGTTTTGATGGAATATGCAAAAATCCTTCTACTAAAGGTAAAAAAAATGAGTGAATTACATTTGAGTTTTGAATGTAAAGAGAAGAAAGGGCACCAGCAATTTCTTTAAAATTTCAAATTGTATATTGCTAATATTATACAATCGAATAATAACAATAAGAATTCAGATAATTATGCTAGTTTATCTTTCTCAACGAAAATTAGTGTAAGCTAATTTGTGAATAAGTTCATTATTTTGCAACTGTGGAGGGACAAGAAAACGAAAAAGAACGAAACCCGGTGTAATAACAGCCTAATGGTACTCTTAGACAAGTGTTAATAAGAGGAAATTTAATTGCTTTTGCTAGTTAGGTACTTGGTTGTCAAGATTTACTTAGGTCTCAACAATCAGATGAGGTTAATATAACATGTCATTGTAACTCATTGCTTGTTATTACAAAAGCTATTAGGCCTAATTACATCATTATCGCCTTTTTAATAGAAGAATCAATAATATTACTTACGTTAATTGTAACTTTTCTTCTATTCTTTATTTAATGGTTTCTTCGCTTTTTTTCTCCCACAGTGGACTGATCATAAGAAACAGTTCTCAATAGATCAGTTAGTGAGCGGGTGGGTGACCATTTTGATCCACCTGCAAAGGTACAGATGACGCGCGGTATCTGGTCCTCGTTATACTATTCTACCGTTAAGGGCTCGACTTCTAGCGTAGGCCACTGGTGTAGGGAAGCCATTTCCACTGTAGAGAATTAAATATTTGATGGCGTGTTTTCTCAGCTATGTTTTCCAGACGGGCACCGAAGGCCTATTGTGAAGCTTTAGTACTGCGTAAATAAAGTACTACTACTATTTTATTGTTGTACTTTAAAAAATTTCACCGAATCAAGAGAAATGATGGAAAGTGGCGAAATAGTGGAGTGAAGAGTGGTGAGTTGAGTGTTCGCTGTCCGTAATTATCAATCTAGAGAGTTTGAAACGGGACTTTTATGCACAGATACTGTAACTATCATAAAAAACGGCGTTAACACCCCGATTTTAGTAGGGAAGCTTTATTTAAATGACAGTCATAAAACAACGATCAACTCAATTACGTTTGTTAAATCTTGTCATAATCACAAATGCTAGTTTTTTGTTGTTGTTGTTTTTTGTCAAAGAAGGGAGCTGGATGTATAAATTAACGGCCAACTCGACTAATTTTGTTGAATCTTTTTACACTTTCAAGAACTAGTTTTCTTTTGGTCAAAGAAGAGAGCTGGATGAATAACTAGTCAACCCTACTAATTTTGCTAATGCTGGTCGTTTTTCCTAAGAAGGAAGCTGGATATATAAATTAACGGCCAACTCACCGAATTTTTATTACTAGTTTTTGCAGGTTACATTAATTTATTTTCATTTAATTGATTGCTCACAGGCAATGTTTTGCATTTCCTGATCCCCTATTCTACTTCTAAGAAAGATAAACTATTGTTCATGTGTCTTAGTATGATTTAAATTCTCTAGTTTTGTTTAAATTTTACGAAAAAGAAATTTTTTTAAATGATTGTATTTGATTTTGGGAGATATGCCATAAACAAAACAAAAAATAAATCGACATATGCCATGTACTAAGAAGCTTCTGTATACGTAAAAGCAATGATATGTAATAAAATATAGAGTTTGTGTGTGTGACCCTTTTCTTAAAAACTCAAGACCAGTTATTCTGGCGTTTTGAACTTTGGACAGTGGGTGAAAGGTCAAATTCCGGTCAGTGGGTGAAAGCCCCCGATCGGAAACATCGTTCAAGAGAAGTTTGAAAAATTGAATTTTTTTTATTGGTTGCCGTTTTTTCCATGTCAACTTCCAATTGAAAAAATTAAATTGCTGACAATATTTATGCTCCTGTTGTACAAAACGTTTTCAAACTTGAACATTTCGACTTAAAATGTCATTTAAAAAAAACCGTAGCTTGGAGAGGGAGAAACCAATTGCAGATTTGAAATCAGCAATACGAAAGTGTCTAAGATCTGTTCAAAATCTCATGCAACAGAAAAAAAAATGGCTCCCTTTCTGAGAAATAATTGAAAGAGTGCATTGTTGATATGGAGTAAATCCTTTTGTGTTATAACTTCTATCTATTTTTTATAATCAGGTGGCTCTTGTGATCCAGAGAACGGCAAAACTCCTGATGGTCGATATAAAAAAACATGTCCGTGTGAAGAGGGTCTGAATTGTAAAACAATTAGTTCATTAGATGTAAGTACATAAGTTGATTCATCAGTAAGTACATGAATTATAAGTACATAATTTTCCTCATAAAGAGATTTGAAATAATATCGAAGTCATTATAAAATATAAAACAAATTTTAAAAAAATGTTAACAACTAAAAGTGTCTTTTCCATTATTGTATTAATGTGGCTTATTCCTCAAGGTCTAGGTCTAGCTGCAGACTAGACTATGTCCAGGAGGTCGCGAATTCTCAAAAAGTCATATACAGTAAGAGATGCAGCTATAAGCTCCTCATGCAAAATGGAGGAGATTCCATTATTGTAGGGTAGTGTATATATACACTATCCTACAATAATGGAAGAGGCACTTTTAGTTTCTGATAAAAAAATTTTTTGAATTTCTCAAGAAGTACTTAGAGGACTATTTTGTAAATTTAGAAGTCTGAATTAGAATAGTTCCTGTAGAAATATAATAATATATTTCTACAGGCTCTTTTCATTATTTGAAACTCCTGTATCAAATAACCTCAAATCAATAGTATCAAATAACCTCCTGTATCAAGTAACTTGTATCAATAATCCCGTGAACTTTTTGTTTCTTATAATGCAGAATCTATTCGGGTTAATTTATAACTCCAATATTTGCATAACTATTATGATGTTTTCTAAGAAATAGATAATACCCTAACATACTCGCGAAGTTTGAGGTCGAATGTCTCCACTATTGTTTGTTCTAGTAAGGAAAAAAAATAATATATTGCTATTATTATTTTTAATAACAACTTTTATGAGTGCTAATAGTGTGATAATATCCAAGGTAAAAATAGTGAAGAAAGTGAAAAATAGAATTTTCTAAATGGAAAAAAAAATTACCTATTGTTTCAAACAACTGTTCTTTCTAATTATTCTAAAATGTTTCAACTTCGTAAATGAGAGATGTAAAAGCAAAATTATAATTAGCTAATTATATTTTAGCTGATTTTACTTATTTTTCAAACTTAATTTGAAATTTAAATATCAATTAATCCTTCAAACAGTTTTCGATGTTTCAGTGTATTTTCGGCGTTATTGAAATCTATAAATAAAGTTTTGGATGTTGAAACGTTATATCTAATCTGAATTTTTTTTATTAAATTACAGTAACTGTACCCCAGTGATTAAGAAGGAGGTCATCTTATTATTGCTGTTACAATACACTGTTATATCAAACACTTGTTTGTGGAGTAATGTTTCATATTTAGCCAATAATTTATTTTTAATTTTGATTTATGTTTGATATGTTTAAATTATCTCAAGTGATTTATTTCCAGCTTACAAAGATAGCTTTTTTATACGAATTTAAATGGTTATTAAACTTTTTGTTTTCTTTTTCAGGAAAAGCCAATATATAAATGTTATTAGTATGAAAAATGAAGAAAAGAAAACAAACAGAAACAAATACAACTTGTTGAAAAGTGAAACTATCATATCTACAACTTTTATTATAAATTAAAATTTATTTCTGGCTTTTTTATAGATTTAAGACTGTTTATGTAGGTTTCTTACAAAATAAATGATTTTTTACAATTTTTAATAAAATGATCTGATAACAGAATTCGGTTTTACCATCGTTTTAACTATACTTCCTTACCAAAAAAAAATTGTTTTTGAAATAAAATGTTTATGATTACAAAATCACTAGAGATCAAACTTTCAAAACATTATACTTAAATATTCTACATTTATTATTCATGTCTCTCAAAAGTGTATTTAAAAAAAACTTTCCTGGAAGATCGATATTATATATATCAAAAGATAAACTAAAAATAATAAAAATGAGATAAAAGTACAAAAGAGAACTGTTAAAACAAATTACTGGTCGAAATACGGGCAAATAATTTTTTTTGTAAAAATTGAATTGAATTGAATGTATGGTTTAGTGGCACAAAGTCCAAAAGAGGACATGCTGCGCCAAACAATACGGTAATTTTGTTTTTTGTAAGAGCAATGATTTGGTGATTACATGAAAGAGCATGCTGACTTTTGTTTGATTCGACAAAATTCTATTGTTTCATTATTGTAACATATTGAAGACATATACCCTCTAGAACAATACAAAGGAATATGAAAAACAAAACGAGTAAGAATTTTTTAATGAAAAAAATAGTTGAAAATGTGCTTAAAATAAATTTGAGGTTGAGGTTTAATAATAAATATTTAATAATAATAAATATTTAAGTGAAGAAACAAAAAGAAAAAAAGAACGAAACAGCTATCGAAATCTGACAAATCAGAGTACAAATCACATACTTCGGAGGAGAATTTCAATCAAATGTGAGTTACTAATTTATTGTATAACATATCAAACAACGTTAAAGAGCCGTGGTGGCTCAGGGGATAGAGAACTTGTCGTCCAATGCGGTGAATCCCAGTGACGGCTGGTCGAAACAGACTCCGCACCCGGCTTGCACCGACCAAAGTGCTGACGTAAAATATTCTCAGTGGTCGACAGATCATGGGTAAGAATCCCCTGGCCATTGGGTTAACCATGGGGAGGTTTTTGTAATTTTCCTCTCCATGTAATGCAAATGCGGGTTAGTTCCAAAAAAATTCCTCCACGAAAGCAAATTTCTCTCCATGCTTGATCCGGGAGTTTCCTTGTCTTCTGGATTGGGTTTAAAATTACAACTCAACGGAGTTGAGCATTAGTACTCGTAAACCCAAAATTGGGTTGGCTGTTCAACCATGGTAATAAAATTAAATAAAATTTAAAAAAACAACAACATGAAAACTTATACTTTTTATTTAGGGAAAGGCTATTTACTTTTTACACACATGACTTCACTGAGTTACTGCAGAGTTCTTCGATTATAAAATAAAAATACGAATACATGAAAAAATTCATGGCAGCATATGAAATATCTTTTATGAGTAAAACCCTAGCACTTTTTTACAAAACTCCCACAGCATGTTCTTCTCAAATTTCTTTTACGCGAACGAAAAAAAAAAAAAGATGACATAATCTCGTATTGAAAGTATGGTTAATGCCATCACAAAACCCATTACTGCCACTTTTCATGTCTAGGTAAACTTTACATTTCTGGGATGTTTCTCTTCACATTCTGTATCAAGTAGTGTCGTAAATAGGAGGTCGGATGATACCCATTCAAAGAGGATGTGATCTAAAACATCCTTTTCTTGCGCTTCCCTCTCATGAGAGAGAGATGGGATTCATGGCACTACACCATCATATACATGGGATGTCTTCGAGAATTACACGCATTCGGCTCCTTTACAGATGTCTGTTGCGGTTTAGTGTTATTACTGGTCTAGCTCAAGAGAAATAGGTTGCTAGAAAAGAGGTAGAGGCGTTTGGCGATGAGAAATACCTGCCAAACTTGTCTTTTTATAACTGGAAAAAAGGCAATTATGTTTCGAGAAGTGATTACGAAACTTAAGTTTTAAACTCTAGTTTTAAAAATGATGTCGAGTGAAAAAGATTATTATTTTTTATTTTGAAAGAACTAAAAAAATAATTTTTATAGTACTTTTTAAAAGGTCAATATGAAATTGCTTTATAATGTAAAGAGGCTTGTTAATGTTTGGTTGTATAATTTAAATTCTAAACTAAGTACTTATTTTTTTATGAAAAAGTATTTTACAGCGCTTAAAATATCTTAATTGAAAATTATTTTTCTGTGATATAGTGAATTTATTAAAACAAAAAAAGGAATATTAACTACTTTTAGTTGGGTAGGTCAGTGAAAAATAAATATCTTTTATATTATCAAAGAGAAAAGGTTTGAGTTTAGATTCCATTGAAATAAAAATGTTTAATAAATATAAAAATCATACTTTTTTTGTAAACTTTCAAGTAGATTAAATGTTTTGTGTAGGTTCCTTGGAAATGGATTCTATGGAAATAAAAGTATTATTGCAGTATGTTTTTTACATTCCCGTAGCATACGTAATTATTGTACTTTTTGACACCCGAATAAATTTTATTTATAATATTTTAACAATAATATGCTTTATTTTTTGATTATAGAAATACTGGTATTAATGGTTTCATATTCCCTTTCATTAACAAATTTTTTTTAGATGTCTTAATTTCTTATCTAACATCTTGCAACAAAAAAATAGTGATAACTAACCAAAAGGTAAAAAAAATACTGAAAAGTAAGAAAAATAAAAATGGCCTAAGGATTAAAAAATTTAATAATAAATACTCTTGTGGGATAGTTTATGAGCAGCAAATTTTTAAAAAGTATAAAATCATAAAAGCTAAGAAAAATCATATTTTTCGATCAGAAATGGCACTTTACTTTAAAATCGTAAATTATTAAAGTACAAAATAAGTAGTTTATTTGCTAGGAGGATTTCATTGAAAAGGGAAGGCGATAGGGAAAAAAAAAAGAAAATATATCAATGGAAATTTATTCAATTCTTTTAAAGAATCTCTCATGAAACAAGAAACAATCTGGTACAGTTTATTTTTAAAGCATGAAATGTACTCCCATTTTTATACAGAAATCTATTCACACATTTCTAATTTTTACTTTTGGATAATGATACTTAAATATAAGGAAATATTAATTTTATTAGTTTAATTTTGCGTTTTTTTAGTTGAAATGTGCAAAGTATTTAAAAATAATTCCTTTTCATAAATTAATAAAAGAACTTCAAAAATGTTTTAAATTAATGTAAGTAAATTTAATTATAATTACACATGAAAAATATGGTATCGCATGCTTTGTCTGATACTGCGTGTTAAAAGCTTTTGTGAGAAAAGTATATTTTTGAACACAAATCCAGTTATCTCTATAGTTCATAAACAACTATTTATTATATATTCTAATTTTTTAATTTATCTCCCGATTATGAATGAAAATGATTAATGTAATCTACGAAAAACAAGCAAAAAAGCTGTATTTGTTACCTTTATAATTCATAAACGATTTCGCTTTTTTTTCATCTATCATCACTTTAGTGATCATCACTATAGTGATATTTATAACGGCAAGAGAAAAAGAAAATAATTTTACTGACGGGGAAAATTGATGACATCTTGACTTTCAGGATAGCTTAAAATGCATCTCATTTGCGTCAGAAGTCATTTAAATTATCAGAAAGCTTTTAAGCTCATTTTAAAATATAATAACGTCGACGTACAAATTTGAGGAAAACAGCCTGGAGTAAATTTCACGATTAGAAAAGGAATTGCGCTCGACTAAAATCTAATGGGGTTTAGTGCTCGTGTTAAAATAAATTGTACAGTATCAGTGCTCATTATAGTATAATCTCATCTGCTTTTGCAAGATTTGAATACTAAGTTTGCGCATACGTTGATAAATACAATCAATGTCTTTTTATAAAAAGAAAATTACAAATTGTGTTTTCCATCTTAGTATCAATTAATTAATAAGATAAAATAATACACAGGAAACACAACATGAATACAAAACTGTACTGTTTTTCTTAACCATTTACAACTAGCATGGCTTCAAAAACCGTGAAAAAGAAATTGTGTTAAGTAGCTTTATGGTGCTGCCATCTGTACATGAATGAGAGTAATATATTCCATCATTGACTTTGTGACTCATTGTTTTATGAGGTTAGTACAAAACTTTATCTGAGAGGTGAACCACACGAGAAAATACATTAGATTTAAGTCTGTTGAATAAAAAAGTCATTCTTGTGAAGTAATAAATTCAGAAAAATATGCATTATACAATTATTGAGCATTGCAGCTCTATGTTTTGGAGCAGAAACACTTTGGAAGATTATTTTTTAGTTTCGAACTTTCATTATTGAGATAGCATATTAAAAACGTCTGAAATGATGATACGATAAAAATTTATGATTTTAAACTTTCTCCAAATTACATCTCATCACCTTAGGGAACGTATATTTGATATAAATTAATTTCGAATAAAATAACTAATGAAACAAATAGAAAAAAGGAAAATTAAAATTTCTCTTTTCATTTGCTAATTAAAACATTATTTACAAATCATAATAATCGTAAAAAAAGAAGAAAATTATAAATAAATATATAAAAATTTATCTTGTTGGGTTGTCGATGCTTCTTGTCACATAATCGGTAAAAAGTCGTGGAAGAGAAGTCGTTAGTAGTGAGTTGTACGGTAATATCGATGACCCAAAATTAATTAAAAACTGTATGATATTCTAATTGAAGAGATTAGTGTAAAAATATGTTAAGTAGTAAGAAGAGTTTCTGAAATTAAAATAGAATGTAACCAAGCCTCAAGATGTTAAATGTATAACATAGTTAAACATTAAAAAAAAGTCCTTTTTAAAAGACTTGGTAGGATAGAATACAAAATGATTACAAAGTTTGTGTTCGATTTGTAATCGAAAAATGTTACGTGTTCAGTGAGATTGCAGTTGAATGTCATTAAAAATTGTTCTGAAAAGATACTGTGTGCAACTAATTCAACCAACTGATGAAATTAAAAAAAATTTTTCCCCACATAATTCAGNCGCAAATTTTAAAAAAATATAAAATCATAAGAGCTAAGA